ACCAACAGCTGCTTTGTCTCACGCGGCACACGACGCTGCACTCTGGCCAGCCCTATCAGAATGCAGTAACATCGGCGAGTGATCGCGGCCACATGCTGCTCCCACGTCAGGCACGAGTCGATGTTGACGCCTAGGACCCTCGCCGACTGCACAGGCACGACTTCCGACTCGCCGAATTTGACGGTGAAGTTGACATTATCATTTTGGCGTGAGGATCTCAAGATAAGCAGTTCGGTCTTCGAAGGGTTTATCTTTAGCCTATTTTGCGTGAACCAGCAGAGAGCTACAGACAGGGTTTGTTCTACGCGGCATTTAAGCTCTGACAGGTTTCTTGGCGAGTCTGAATCTATAAACTGGGCATCGTCAGCGTACATAACAAGCCTCCCATGCGGCACGTGTTGTGACAAGTCATTGGAGAACACCAGGAACAACACTGGGCCCATTATGCTGCCCTGCACCACCCCATGCGTCACCGGCAGCTCAGCACCCGATCCACCTCTAACTGACTGCGTGCGGTCGGAAAGCCATGCACGGAACCACCGGTCATCAATACCGTACCACCCCAGCTTCTCCAAGAGGCGACCATGCTCGACGCTGTCAAACGCCTTGGAGGTCGGTCGGCATCACACTGCCGTCAAAAGTTATTGCAGTTTTAGTGACGCTAGGTCGCCGCCCGGCCGACCCCGATCAGGTCGGCCGGGCGGCGGCCGTGCAGCTGACGTCCGTACGGTTCGGCAGCTGACCAATCAGCTGCGAGAGAGGAGCGCGGTCCGTCTAATCGCTCCCGGCAGTTGCTTGTGCTGAGGGGTGCTCGACGCTCGTGTCGATTGCATTTGTTGGTTGTCGATTGTCGATTGACTTGTGGGTATACTTTCTGGTGACCAATAAATGTACGTCGTCTTAACTGAATGTAGTCTGATCAAATTCAATAAAGCAAAAAGATATCCAGCCAACAGAACATCGTAAGAATGTCCGATATGGTTGATAACATTCAGAGTTTTGGGGAGCAGCCATCGACCAGAATGAACCTTATTGGCTTTTGTATGTAACATTTGCATTGCTTTTGGAAAGTTTCAGTCAGATATCTTCAGAAATGGCAATGTTATCGGCTTTTGCATTTTACCGTAGTCGGTTAATCACAATTTTCGATATTGCAAAGGCAATTTCAGTACGTTCTTGACATCGAAAACCAAAACGAATAGCATCATCGTGCTCCAGAGCTCAAATTGCATCCGATGCACATCTTTTTTGTTGAGAATGTTCAACTTCAAAATTTGGCTTTTCTGACCTCGCCGTGACCTGACCTTCATTTGTCGAATGGAAATAGTTTCGAATCGGACGACCCAGATGACATCATTTTTAGATGCTTTTGCCGAAATGGACCATTAACCCGCGCACCGACGGGGGTCTGCGCCAACTTCGCACCGACGGGGGGGGGGGGTTCTGCGACACCTGAGCGAACGTCATTTCAGCGAACGACATTTGAGCGAAACATTTTCAGCGATTATCAATTTAAGCGATTGACTTTTTCAGCGATTGTCAAGTCGGCGAATTCAATCACAGCGATTATCAACTTTAGCGAGGACCAGAATCAGCGAAACCAGATTGAGCGAATATATGGTGGTCAGTGGGATACCAATTGAGCGATGCAGTTACAGCGAATGACCGAACGCGACGAAAGTCAATCATTTGCTACTTTTCGGAAATTATTGCACCTCTTTACGCATCATTTGAATTTTGAAGACACATATGTACATACATCGGACGACCAACAAGGGGTGCATGGGAGGGGAAGGAGGCGGGCAAAATTTGAATTGAAAATGTGGAACGTGAGAGATAGGGCGACGGAAGGAATGCCAAGGACCAATAATAAACTAGAGAGAATATGGCACAGGGGAATCCAGTCTATGTTTCAGGGACCTCACCCAAATATCTGGAAATTCGTACGGTGCTTGGGGCAAGAACAAATTTTACAACATGGGGAACTGATCCAAATTCAAGCGGGGCAATTTCGCGAAAAAAGCACAAGCAATATTGATCTCTGAACAAACGTTTGGTCACCATTATTGACAAAGAGCAGGGTGGGGTAGGGGGGGGGGGTGAAATTGAATCGTTGGAATTTTAGACAAATGTAGCATTAAATTTGGAGCTCAATGTCTGATCTTTGAACGCACGACATCCGCCATCCAGTTCCGGATAACCATGGGAAATTCCGGAAACATTCGTACGCATACGCTCGCAAAAGAAAAAATCAAAATCACCGTTACAGGACGATGAACTGTTTCGCTGAACTGACAGTCGCTCAAATTGTAGTCGACGAAATAGATGTCGCTGAAACATAGCTTTCGCTAAAATTGATAATCGCTATATTTGATAATCGATGAACTTGATGATCGCTGAATTGCCATTCGCTGAAAATGGTTCGCTCAAATGACGTTCGCTCAAATGACACTCGCTAAAGTCGCTCGCACCGGGGGGGGGGGGGGGGGCGGATGACCGCCCCCCCCCTGAGATCTCGAGAACGAAGCAAGATAGCGACAAGCGGTAAACGGCATCGGATACGCACGGCCAAGATCTACAATTTTTACAAAGGTCATTTTCAGGTCAGGTCAAAGATGACGTCACAGGGGTCGAAAAAGTCAAAATGGCGGCGCTAGATATGGAGAGTTTTTCTCGAATAACTTTCGAATTAGTCAAGATAGGAACAAACTAAGGGCATCATCGTGATCCTCTCGTCAATCCGCATCGAATGATATATATGCTGACCTCGAAAGGTCAAGGTCAAAAGTTGACCTCAGGTCACGTGACCTCGAGGTCATCATGTATATCATTCGATGCGTCTTGACGAGCTGAACGCAATGAGACCATCCACGCGTCTGTATCTTGTTCCTGTACGGAGTTATTGGCCAAAAACCTTTGGTGACCTTTGATGACGTCACATGACCTCACAGCTGCCCAACAGCAAAACAGACCTCAAGGTAGTGAAGGTTGATCGTATATGAAGTCATATATGGTATATGGGGCCATTCCGACCCGTTTTAGTGGTAAAAACAGGGAGTTGATTTTTCCCCCATTGACTTATAATGGGGAGGTCGCGAAATTGACCTGACCTTAGGTCACCGATATCAAAATTCCGAGATATACAAATTGTAGCTACTAATGACCTAATAATATCCTGCGACTTTCAAAGGCCTCCGACATCCACTGTAGCTCTGGCACGGTGACAAAGTTGCAAAAAAGTGACTTGAGGTTGGGTCATTCAAAGTGACCTGGTGACCTGACCTTAAAAGGTAGGAGGTTCAAACTTGCACACCATGTGTAAAATTGATGAGGTTATAGTCATACCAAATTTCGCGGCGCTACGCGCCGCGGTTTTCCCGCTATTCGCGAAAAACCTCAGGGGGGGGGGCGGATATCCGCCCCCCCGTCGGTGCGAGGGTTAAAGATGTGTCGCATGACCTTAAAAATGTATACATTTCCTTCCATGACCTTTTCCATGACCTTTTGTGACCTATGACCTTTCCATGACCTTTTGTGACAAAGCTAGGTTTCGTTTGTCAGCTATTCCTATCAGAAGCCGTTTGAACTTTTAGTATTGAACGAGTAGTTTCGAAGACAGCAGGGAAGCTATGCAGAATCCCCTCCCGAGTCCCCCACGTTATGAGATATAACCGTCATCCGCGGATTACAAGCAAAAATATTTTTTACGGCAATGATGTATCAGCATGGATGCTCATACGTTCCCATATGTGACCTTACGGTTGACTTCACATACAATAAAAATTGCTTGGTAAAATGTTAACTGGTTAACGAGTTATGGCATTTTGGCCACTTCCGAACTCAAATAGCGGCTGTGTGCACTGGGGCGCGGGTTAACCCAGTGGTGATCTTGGTTTTACGCTACGTGCCGTGGGTGGTCTAGGGCGGCTAAAAATAGAAATTTGACGTTATTTGCCAAGAATGGAGACATCCAGCTCAAGCGTGGTATGCCGATACCGATAGACGACCTTACGTTTTATCACATTTTCCAGTTTTTTTTTTTTTTTTAAGTGATGCCCGAAGGGTTCTTGAAAGTTTGGTGACGATAGGTACCTACCTATTTGCAATGCTTCAGGAGACATCGACAAAAAGTAGAGAGGGTCTTTTCGCCCCCCCCCCCCTCCTACGGGGTGGGACGCTGCTTATCTTATCTTGCACGAGACGCTGCTGGTAGGCATTGGTCTCATTTTCCTACATATCAATATTATCACTGCCGGGATAACGGGGCGCCGCTGACCGCGGCCCGGGTCACTGACACAGTTTGCTTATATGCAGTTCAACTGCCGACCGGAGCGTACGAGCGTTGGACGTCAGTTTGTTGTTACCGTGCAATGCCAGTCCGTTGGTCGTTCTACTTTCAACGGGGCTTCAACGCTCTTATGAGTGGTAATAGGGTTTCATATAAACATTGAATGGAACTTTACAATATGCTATACCTAGCAATGAAATTAATGTTTGAAAAGCGAGTTCTGCAGGCTTTATGATTGACGTCAGTCTCGCCAATTAAATGTCCGTTTATGCTGGCGCGAGGCATGTGCGTAAAAGCGGGCCAGTTTACGTTTGCGTTTTAGCAACCTTCGCGGAAATGATAAGAAAATGTTTCGCCGCAGATAAGTGGCACCGGGCACGCCTGCAGTTGGAGAAGCCACATTTTACAATAATTGTTTCTATGTGCGTGTCGAGAAAGCCTTGCATACATACTGTCAATGCAAATCCTGAATTTAATTATGTGTCGACGGTTTTGAGCCATACTGTAGATGCTGTACCTAATTCCCACGGGCAATTACATTTTGAACCTCTACGCCCTATTTACTAGTAGATGGGCCGATACCTAATCACAAAAGCTCCATAACACAAAGCGCTCCAGAAAACGCTTCCATTTTCTCGTTTAATGTGTGAATTGCTCCGTGTGAACCCTGTAACAAACCGTCTATTCACCTGTAGTTTTTTCACGTGCAAAGATGGACAGCGAACCCTGGACGGAGAAGATGTGGGGCGGACGGAAGTTCTGGGGCGTCGGCTCGGAGTTCGACCCCTGGTGGACCCTGAATGAGAAGCAGAAGAAACTGCAGCAGGACCTGATGGAGATTTGCAGGACGAAAATCCGACCGCATGCCGTAAGTACGGGAGAGCTGTCGGATTCTATACTCAGTTTTAGTATTAGTGTAAGTTGACTTAAATGAATCGTATAGGTAGATATATTAACGTGAGCTCTTCTACGCCATTCAGCGAGCTCGAACCTGACTCTGTGCTGAAAAGTATGCTCCATTTGACGGCAGAACGCTCGTTATTGTTTACCATCCACTGGATTGTTTCTTTCCACCGAGGCTGCTGAATCTACCGATCCACTGTTACTTTCATCATATTTGTATTTTGTCATCGGTTATTTGTTGAAACAATGTTAGTCACAAGAGTCAAATAATACCTGGTGACAACGGATGTTATGTGACCTGGCCAAAACAACCTTCCCTCCATACCTACCTCCAGATCTACTGCGACAAAACGTACTCGTATCCACGTGAGTCTCTGAACGCGATGTCGGAGCTGGGCCTGCTGGGCCTGCTGGTGCCCAAGGAGCTCGGAGGTCTGGGAGAGAGCCACCGCTGTGCCGCCATGGTGGTGGAGACGCTGGCCAGATACGGGTGTCCCAGCACCGCCATGGTTTACAGTGAGTCCTATTTCAATTTGTTATACATCATGCGTTTATTTAAAAACTGTGTGAGCCCTAACTGCGAGTGGTTTGGTGCATAAACTCTTTCGAATGCTCAGCAGCTAAACAGCGTTAATAGCGGTAAATTGTTGCTGATCACGCTGTTTTTATTGAGACCGCTGCTTTTTAGGGGGGGGGGGTTGTAGGACTCATTCGGAAACAACCAATTGAATACATGTCTTGCATACAGCAAAAAATGAACGATGTAAAAGGCGTTAAATACAAAGATTAACCCCGACTCCTCGTTCCCCCACAGCGATGCATCTGTGTGCGACGGCGGGTCTTCTGTTACGTCATCACAACAGCGAGACGATCAAGGACATTCTGCGCCGACTGGATAAGGACAAACTGGTGGGCACGCTCTCATACAGTGACCCCGCTACGGGTGAGTGGACTCGGTGGTAAGACAGACACAGCCTGCAGTATCGTTTGGGTAACGTGAAAAGGATGGGTGTGAAGGCGCCCCGAATCATTTTGCACGTGTTTTGACCATTGCAGATAGACCGAAATAGCATGCCTACCTGTCTCAGTGTCTCGGAAGAAACCTCGATAGAAAAGTGCTGGAGTATAACTTTTAGGACAAGGTATATGCAAGGGCATAGAAAACTAATTCAGATGGGCGGGGTTGTGCTTGACTCATGAGTCGAGTCGGATAAAATGTTGAGCTGTTGAGTTGAGTCAGAGTTGAGTCAGACAAAAATATTAAGGCGTTGAGTTGAGTCAGAGTTGAGTCAGTAAAATAACTTTGACATAGAGTTGAGTTAAACACCCCCCCCCCCTGCTTAACAACTTAGCCCTGGCCCTGCTGCTGGATTTTTTTCACCCCCCCCCCGCTCAACAACTTTTTTTATCTGAGTCAGTTTTGAGTCAACTCACTTGACTCAACAAAAATTAAGTCAAAAATTGAGTCAGCTCCTTCTTTGAGTCAGAGTTGAGTCAGGGCTTTCTGAAGTTGAATGATGAGTCGAGTCGGCAATTTTTTTTTTTAGTCGAGCACAACCCTGCATATGGGTATATGATGGCACGTACCAAAATAAGGGCAATATCACCGTAATATCATTTCAGCATCCGCTCGTCTAACCGGTCTTATCCATTGTGAAACTTGTCTGTCTACATTCTTACGGCCCACGGTATTATTGTGTGCGCAGTGAAACCGAGGGAATGTAACGATAGCGGTGCGTATTCTGAAAGATAACGTCTAATGTGCTCCTTCATCAGGCCGTGCCACCGGAAAGATATCAGAGATATGGCCGTATTTACGCTACACGCAATGCCAATGGAAACTGACTGAATGAATAATGACGCTGTGATAGGCACGCAATATGGTAATAAAGATAAGCGTAGATTGATCAATGTTGATAGCGGTGAGTGGGCGTGGGAATGGTAAATGCGTTTCATGGAATGTAGCGAAAACATTGAGAGTTATCATTTTCTGGGACACAATATCATTGTAAATTAATTTTCGACTTTTTGTATTTCATTTGTTACGATCTAATTTTTCCTTATGCATCGCTCTTTTACTTTCAAATATGTTACGCATTTTTTTTTTTTTTGACAAATGAAGCGACGTATATTTACACCTTGATGACATTCCGTGATCCTAAAAACTGTTTTACAATCGCCTACTGATACCACGATACTGCTGCCCCCCTCCCCTACTCGTCAAGGCGGCCACTTTTGGTTCCCGCTCTCCTCCAAGTGTCACCAGCTGGACGAGAATCACGTTAAGCTGCTCAAGTACGCCTCGTGGACCACATCGTCAGGATTCGCCGATTTCTACGCCATCCAGACTGTCAGCCCGGGGAAGAAGCCCGGAGACTTCTCCGACCTCACCTGCTTCCTCTTCTTGAAGGTGAGAGCGGTGATTCTGTCGCTACTTCTTATATCGTAATATAGAGAAAACAATGCATGGTGTCGATATTCGATGTAATGTTGGATGAGTCGTGTTGCTTGTTTACTTTGCATACATTATAAAGGTACGGAATATTTGCCATCCGGTGCTGAAAGGCTTGTGCTGCAGTTTTCGTAATTTATTCATTTTTGATATGTATACCGAAAAGTACGATCCTTACAATGATCACGACAGGTGTCTAGCCTCCTTGTTAGTATGGTTGATTAGGTGTTTAACTAATCTAACTAACAATTCGGTTAATAAATAGCCAGTCACCTGACTAGTTTTCGCTCTCTTCAGGACGAGGTGCGCGCCAACGCCGCTGACTGGCAGTCGCTGGGAATGCACGGGAACCAGTCGGGGCCTCTGATCTGTGAGGGCGTGCTGGATGTCAGCCGACGCATCGGACCCGTCGGTAAGTAGTGAGCTGCCTGTCCCCTGTCGTACCTGGGCTCCTAGTGCATAGCGTGTAGTGTGGTGTGTGAATAACTCATATTTTGTCGATGAGCAGTGAGCTACCTGTCTCTGATGCATATAGCATGATGGGGTGAACGGCACACATTCAGGGAATTACTACATTCCGGAAACATTCTGTGGAAATTCTGGATTGGTTCACAGCTTGCATACAGCGTGCAATATATTGCAGCGTGTACGTGACGTCACGCAGAATCTTTGCCGTCTGAGTGACTTGGAATCCGGCCCTAGTTTCGCACTTTGTCTCAACCTTGCATCACGATGTTCCAACGTGTCTCATCATATCCGACCGGTCTCATCACATGTTCCGCGGTGTGCCGCATTGTCCCATCGATTCTCATTTTGCCCCACTGCATCCCACCACGTCCCGCAATGTCCCACCGTATCCCACCATGTCCCACCAATCACCATATCCCAACGTTTCCCACTTTGTCCCCGCAGGCGATGGATCCAGGTCAAACGACGAAACGGTCGATCCGTTCTTCCTGCTGGCTTCGTCTTGCTGCTGGAACGGCATCGCCCTGGCCTGCATCGACTTGGTGAAGAAACATGTCACCAGGAAGGCTCATGGTGACTTGGGCATACGTGTCTGCGATTATCCCACCATTCAGGTATGTAAGCGCGGTTTGAGGCTCTTTGGTGAGTGTTTGTGGCACATTGGTGATATTTGTGACTAAATAAGCCAGTTTGGTCGGCGTCTGTGGTGCAGTTGTTACGTCTTTGGGCTGCTAAATATTGGTATATCATGTTGTGACTATGTGATTTTGGGTGTGATTTGTTGTCGGTTACTTCTTTCAGGCATTGCTGAGCGCTGGTGTGAGTGACAGTATATTTAAAGGGACCCTCCCACCTTGACATTAGATTTGAGTTGAGATAGCCAAAATGGGGTCCCTGGCTCACAATTACCGGTTTCGGCACTCACAACATCGAGAAATGCCTTAAATCGGAAATATTGAATTTCAAAATTGCAGCATTTTGATTCAGAGGGTCTAATGCTTAGGAATACCCCTCTGAATGTGTGACGTCAGCGCAAATATCTAACGATTTTTAAATGTTTGACAAAAACGTTTTGTAGTACGCGGTGGTATATGCTATTTGCGCGCAACATCTGCCGCAAACGCCGCACTTCTAAAATAAAGTCGCTAGAAACAGCGGAGATCCCAATAAAAGTAAACAAAAGTAAAAGTCTAATATCTTGAAAACCGGTGAATATTTTTCGGTGAAATTTGGTAGATATTCGTTTTCGCTCTTTCTGAACCGAGCGAAATCACTTTCATGCCAATTCATAAACTTTTTTGAAGGTGGGAGGGTCCCTTTAACCCTCGCCGGCCGAGGGGGGGGGGCGGGTGCCGCCCCCCCCCCCCATAGGGTTTTTTCGCGATAGCTCCGAACACGCTGGCGATAGAGAGCTGAAACTTGGCATACCTGACCTTTGATCCAAGCCGCATCTTTTGACACCAACCGCATTTTTGGGTCAGGTCAGGTCACTGACCTATGACGTCATAAGTGAACCTCTGCACGGTCTTCAGATGTCGCAACTTCGCAACGCCCTCACTGCCAGAGGAGATGTCACAGGGAAATGAAACTTGCAGGATCTAGTATCCATTATGAGTCTCACAACTTGTATATCTCGGATTTTTCCTAAAGGTCATATGAGGTCAGGTCATTTTCGTGACCTCACCATTATAAGTCAATGGGGAAAAATGAAAACTGCTATTCTGGCGCCGGGAACGATCTCCAACTATCTCAAGCACACAGAATCGTGATTTGATGCACTCCTTGCTAGGTTAGATGCGTCACTTTTGCAATGTTGACCTTCCGTGACGTCATTTATGACGTCATCAAGGTCATATTAGTTTTTCGTCAATAGCTCCCGATCAAATTGAGCTAGCGAGTCGAGAAAGCCACCAATGGACTCAGGAAGACCTGCCGAATCGAATGATATGCGACATGACCTCTTTCGACCAACTTCGTGACCTTAGGGTGCTGACCTGACCTTGACCTGAGGTCAACACCCCAAGTTGACCTGACCCGAACAAAAAAAAATATCATTCGACGCGCCTGAGCGAGGCGAACACGATGCTGCCAAAATCGCGGCTCTGCGGCCGTTTTTTGCGAAGTTATTCACCAAAAACTGAACCGTACCCTGGGGCACTTGACCTGACCTCAGAGGTCACCGGTTGACCTAGGACCTTAAAATTGGGTACCAATCTCTGCGTCTCGTAACGGCGCACACGCTCGTTTTTTCCGCGACGCGCTAGCTCCACCAGGGGCGAAACGGCGAGGGGGGGGGGTCGTACCCGCCCCCCCCCCCCTCGGCCGGCGCGTATGTAGAAAACCAATAGGTCCGGCGAGGGAGTGACCATCCCACCTTGACATTAGTTTTGAGTTGAGATAGCCAAATTGGTGGTCATGGCCTGAAAATACCGGTTTGGGCACTCACAGCATCGAAAAATGCTTTAATTCGGAGATATGGAATTTCAAACTTGCAGTTTGGGGCTAATGCATTGGAATGCCCCCTTAGAATTTGTGACGTCAGCGCAGATCTAACGATTTTAAATATTTTACTAAAACGTTTGGTAGCACGCGGTGGTATATGCCGCTTTCCGCGCAACAAGTGCCGCACTTTCAAATAAAGTCGCTAGGAACAGCGGAGACGACCCCCACCAAACACGATTTGGCAGCACTGTAATGACGCCTGCTGGGCGTGAAGTTTTCCCTTCACCATAGGGTTTACACACAAACTGGTCAAAGTTTGAGCCAGGATATACTAGTCTAAAAATGCAAAAAACGAACAACTTTTGGCATCAATAGATTCAGCATTTCATCGTGTGCCTCAAACCGTCCATCATTTGGCCTCAAAGGAGGTAAAAATTGTTCAAAATCGAAGTTGAAAAGATGCTTTCTGAGCACATAATCTGGTAGCAATCACGTGACCTGCTATAAGCAGCTTATCGATAATTTACAAACATAATTATTAATATGCTGCTTTAAACAACATTAATCATACATTTTGAGCTTTCGGTACTTTAAATAAGGTCAAAACATCGCAAAACACAAAAGTTAATACAATAGTCACGTGGGTGTCAGGAAATGTCACAGGTGCGTCAAATTTGTGACAAATTTGTGACACGGATGACATATAGTACAATACATTAACACACATGGACTCTCTCTCGACCTTCCGACTCTCCTGGGCGACACTCATCCGGATATCCACGACCTTCTGTTCGTCTTTCTCGCCGACGCTCGGATCATCAAGAGCCTTTAGCGTGTTAGGGCCGCGGCTGCCGCCCCTAAAACGCTAACCAGAGCCCTCGTCTCCCGGCTCACCCCCAAACGCACACACTAATTAATCGCGGTTACAGGGCTTTTTCCCTCGCGCCGTTTTGGCTTAGGTGCGAGGTTTTTGCCCTTTGCGTTAGGCGTCGGGTTTTTTATTATTTAGGACTTTTTCGCCCGACTATTACACCCCACAACAAGGCCCCGCCGGGGGGCTGGAGCCTAGAAGGTCTTATACCTTCTGTCAGTGCGATGAAAGCTTCCCGGCTCCATTACACTGACACCAGCTCACAAGTGTTCATGTCTATTATGTATTGTTAATAAAAGTCATTCCCACTGTTGTGTTTGCGACTCCAGACATCTCGGCTCTTTGGCTATACACGTAAGTACCTCCCTTAGCTTTGATTCCACATTAAGATAGGATCCCACGTTGTTTTTGCTACCGGGTTCACATAAACCGATTTAACGTAAGACTTGCTTCCCGGCGAAAATTGCCGGAGTAACTGCCCTCTGCTCGGGTATGGCACTAGGCCGACCGAGCATAAAAAAAAGGATCTACCTGTTTCTTATAGGTATCTTGAGCGGAGATCCCAAAAAGTAAACAAATGTAAAAGTCTAATATCTTGAAAACCGGTGAATATTTTTCGATGAAACTTGGTAGATATTCGTTTTCGCTCTTTTTGAACCGAGCAACATCACTTTCATGGCAATTCATTAACTTTTTTGAAGGTGGGAGGGTCCCTTTAAAACGTTTAATTACCTAACTACGTTGTCCCTATTTTTTTTTTTTTTTTTTATAAAAGATTGAGTTCAGGTTTGTAACTAGGTTTTTCGGCCCTTCTCAGAATCTCTAAAAATAATTTTCAGTTGTGACTATACCGCCGTTTCACTCGCAGGACTATTTTGGCGAGAGCGTATGCGACACCAACTCGGTTCGGCTCATGGCCATGTCGATAGCTGAGGCGCTGGACATGGCCACAGAAAACAACAGCTGGGACAAACACGTCCACCTAGACTACTTGCCACGGTCAGTTTATTTAGCTATGTTGTATATATCGATCACGCATAGGTTTATTTGGGAAATTATGTTCGCAGTGTTATCGCCGGTTCGAAGTTTCATACCGGAACCGGCTCGTAAGCACAGGCTAGTATGGAGTGGTTTGTAATCAGATAATGTACGCATTTAACAGGTTCGTCGGATCGTCCTTGCGACTTGCTTATTAACCTTCAATGCGAGCGTTTTCTCCCGCAAGTTTTAACCGTTACGAACCTTTCCTTTTGTACTTGTGCTTACCAAAGGTTAACAGACACTAGACAGTCAAATCAGTAAAGCGATAATTTTAGCATGCATCGGTAGGCAATTTGAACTTATCTCCGGCTTTGATAGCAGCTTTTATCCAAGCCTTTAAATCATGCCTTATCAATGATATGTGTCTCGTTTAATCAATTTATATCGCATAGCAAAAACAAAACAACGATACAGACACATTAGATAATTACTCAGTTGCCAATTAGCTTCCACGGACAATGCCGTGGGTAAGCTTCGATGGAAAAACAGGTGACTCAAGTCAGAACGTTCTGAAAGCCAGCCGTGTTCACCACATTTCGCTCGACACTTCCAATAGCATCTGCTTCCCATTACTCGACAGTGCGTCATAGCGCACATAAATACCCATCCCACGATTCCCCTAATGACGTCACGTTTTCTACCCCTTCCAGCGCCAAATTTCTTCAGTGGCTGTGGCAGCTGAAGTTCGCGGCGGCCAAGAATGTCAACACCGTGACAGACACTATGCTACACGCGGCCGGCGGCTCCGGATACAAGACGGACTTTGGTGAGCTCCTGTTGGGCCATTGTCGGCTGCTGGTGCAGTGCGAATTTGTGAGGTCAATGCTGCCATGACTCTCTTACTCCCCCAATATTCCTCTTTTATGGTGCAACTTAGACCTTTTCCCAATGCCCATGGGTTCACCAAAAGCGGCTGGGAAAGGGAACATGCCTGCGGTGTTTTTTTAGACTAAGTCCTGACTGACCGCGGAACATTGTTTGACTGAGTGATTTTGGCCGAAACACAATCTAGGCTAGATCGCGATCGGCTTAACTTTGATACAATTAGGGCATATTACAAATTTAACAACTTCTAGGTCTCATAAAACACTAAATAAAAAGCCTAAGGTGACAATTATGCCTACTCTGTCAGGTCTGGAGCGCCTGCTGCGGGACGGAAAGGCCGGCTGGGTGATGGGACCGTCCAACGAGGTTCTCCGCCAGTGGGTCGGAAAGACGGTCCTCCTCGGCATGGATGCCACCGACTACTGGTGTGTACAGGTCTCGCGGGTTTTAGCGGCAGGTTTTGCACCTATGAAATTTAGTCTACTTCAGGCTATATCTTCGTCGTCTTAAGCTTTTAAGTGTTGAATATGCAATCGATTTGTTCGTTCACAAGCCTGCCATTATCGTATAAAATGGCTTCATCGTGGATCGATTAGTTTCTGAGATTTAACCGGAAATGTAAAAGGGCAAAGCCTACCGCTTAATCTCGCCAGAGCCGTACGGGGACTGAGAGAGACGGTAGATAGACAGACGGTAGAGGGACAGAGAGTCGGTACAGTTTCCGCTTGTGGCTTCACAGACTGACTACAGTGGTATGTGGACTGAAAGACGAGGGTCGCGTGGGTATAGTTACCGTTTATGGGTTGACAGACTGACTACTGGCACATGGACTCTGAAAGACGGGCATCGATGGAACAGAGGCCAGTTTTACCAACAGAAAAATAGCCGCCTGCCGGAATTTTTGCCTAAAGACCGCTTCACATACGGAGCGTAAACGGTAAAGCCCTATCCGCTTACGTGCCCATCGCGTTTACGCTCCGTATGTGAAGCGGTCTTCAGGCGAAAAATTCTGGCAGGCGGATATTTTTCTGTTGGTAAAACTGGCTTCAGATCTAGTTTCTGCTAACTGGTTTTATAGATTGACTAGAGGTACAGGTTTACGCGATAACTGTATGTTTTGATATGTATGATAAACGGATGCATTAGTTTGGGTGTAGAAACTTGCATTTTTATTGGTATTATTTGTGTAGAACTGGGTAACTGCTTTTAATTGAGCTATAAAGTATGATGGTGATGCATGCGAGTTGTTCGAGCCCTTAATAAGTTAGGATGTTACTCAATTCAACCCTACCCTACCCTACCCTACCCTACCCCTACCCCTAACCTACCCTACCCTACCCTACCCCTACCCTACCCTACCCTACCCCTACCCTACCCTGCCCCTACCTCTACCCCTACACTACCCTACCTTACCATACCCTACCCTACCCTATCCTACCCTTACACTACCCTACCCTACCCTACCCTACCCTACCCCTACCCTACTGTACCCTACACTACCCTACCCTACCCTACCCTACCCTACCCTACCCTACCCTACCCTACCCTACCCTACCCTACCCTACCCTACCGTTACACTACCCTACCCTTCCCCCTTACACTACCCTACCTTACCCTACCCCTACCCCTACTCCTACCCTACCCTACCCTACCCTACCCTACCCTACCCTACCCTAACCTACCCTACCATACCCTACCTTACCCTACCCTACCCTACCCTACCCTAACCTACCCTACCATACCCTACCCTACCCTTACACTACCCTACCCTACCCTTACCCTACCCTACCCTACCCCTACCCTACACTACCCTAACCTACCCTACCCTACCCTACCCTACCCCACCCTACCTCTACACTACCCTACCCTACCCTACCGCTACCCTACAATTCCCTACCCTACCCTACCCTACCCTACCCTACAATCCCCTACCCAACCCTACCCTACCCTACCCTACCCTACCCTACCCTACCCTACCCTACCACCGACAGTCCAAGTTTCAGCTAAATCGGCCCAGAAACGGCTGAGATATTGCAAAAACAAATTGATTGTATTGTTGTGCTCGGTCGTTCCGCTTTGTCGGAGAATCCGACGACCCCGCCGTCCAGCCTCAGCAGTAAAAAGTGTGTCGCTCTTTGTGCCTGTATTTGTGCCCCGTTAATGCCAGTCAGGCCGACAGTCCCTCCGCTTAACCCGGGGCCCGGAATAAACCCGAGTCCCCCCAAACCCACTGGTTTCCACCAAACAGAGCCGCCGTGGATTTCCCACGTCGGACGTCCCGGAATTATCCGAGGCCGGCCGACGCAAGAATGGTGAACGGCGGAATCAGTCGCCGGTGGCTCTCGGACCACACCCGAGGCACCTCCGACAACCCAACCCGCGGCACAAATCTCGCTCCCCACAGCCCGGGCGATGTACGTCTGAGCCGCTACCTCAGGTCGCACAGCACACGGGCAGCAGAGCGGCAAGATGGCTGGGCCCGGCAGCACCTCTGGATCAACCCAGGCAGCAGCACCGGTCAGCGGACGGGACAGGAGCCCTCCCCAAACAGTCCCCCGCACAGGAGTTCCCGCACTTACCCGGCCACCGCCACGCACAAAACTGACCGCCACCGCCGGCACGCACCGGTCGTGACCTCGGGTCAGATGCCACCACCAATCACAGCGCGGCACGGACAGAAACTCGGCGCACGGTACAAAAGCAAAGGACCGGGCCGGATTCGAACCGGCAACCACCGACTGATCACGCCGGCCAAACGTCCAGACACCCTACCCACTCGGCTATCGGGGATATATGGGACGTCGCCGCACTCCAATCACCAAACTTCAGTATGACACCCATTCAGTGTCCATTACAGTATTTACTGGCGAATCCTCTTGGCGAGCGGTGCCCTGTGTCGGCCTTCGTTGTCAACATAGGCGGCGGAACGGGGGGGGCACCGGGGCACCGTGCCCCCCCTTGAATTCTGCAAGGGGGGCACCAATAGCAAGGTGCCCCCCTTAAATTTGATGTATTAGTACTAGGGGCAGATTCGGGGAAAACTCCAAGGGGAGGGCCATGAATCGAAGTGGTGCCCCTACCTATGCCCAAAATTAAAACCTCAACGGATTTCGGCCACTTAATTTTGGTGGTGCCCTATTTTCAGTTTTTTTATTTTCTTTATTTTTGGTTAGTCATGTGATGACTGGTGCCCCTGTACCTGCTAGGCCGCTGATGCCCCTGGAAAGACTGTGGTACCTACCTACCCTGCCCCCTGACAAGCCTACGGTGGGCCCTGACATGACTTAGGTGCCCATGGGCCCTGACAGGCCTGTGGTGTCCTTGCTAAGCCTGTGGTGTCCCTGGGCCTTGGCAGGTTTGTGGTGCCCCTGTTAGAACGCAGGTGCCCTTGACAGGTTTGTGGTGCCTCTGACAATCCTAAATTGCCAACGACAGGCTTGTGGTGCCCTTGACAGGCCCATGGTGCCCTTGCGAGGCCGGTGGTTCCCCTGCGAATCCGATAGTGCCCCTGGCAGGCCTCTGGTGCCCCTGGCAGGTCTGTTGTGCCCCTGGAAGACCTGTAGTGCTTTTGCTAGGCCGATGGTGCTCCTGACAGGCCTGTGGTGCCACTGACAGGCCCGTGGTGCCCCTGCTAGGCCTATGGTACCCCTGGCGGGCCTGCGGTGCCCCTGTCGGCTGTCAGGCCTGTGGTGCTCCTGGCAGGCATGTGGTGACCCCAGGCCCTAAGTCATGACCCATGTGACCTCCACCCTGGGATTCGCCACTGATTAGTACCATGCGATGGCTTCTTGGTAATTTGTTACATGTAGGATTAATGGAATTTATCAAACGAGAATAAGGAAGAGACAAACACATAGGTACTTGGGGATCAGCTTAAAGTTAACCACACATACGGGCAGGGGTGTAATTTTCCTAAAATGATTGTGGGTGCCCAGCTGTAGGGGCGCCCAGCGCCAGGCCGTTTTGGGGCGCGATAGATATTCTTTATGTGGGAGCCTAAATTAACACCGAATTTGATAACATTGCTAGCCGAATGGCGCTTCAAGTGACGTGTCTGACTAAGCAAATACACGCTTAAAAGTGGAAACTGACCGGAAGGACGTAAAAAGCTGTAGAGGGCGCCATCCAGTAGGAGGGGCACCAAATGTGGAGGCACCAGACGGTTACGACTTACGAGGGCGCCGTGAGACGATGAAAAGGGCGCCATTCTCTTGGGAGGGCGCCGAGTGATTGAAAACGCTATGTGGTCCAGGGGCGCTAAGAGGCCAGAAGGGCGCCGCACAGTCAGTAGTGCTACGTTGGTGGGGACGTGGGGACGCCAGATGGTTACGAGGGCGCATTGAGATCATGAAAAGGGCGCCATTCTCGTAAAAGGGTGCCGAGTGATTGAAAACGCTATATGTGGTTCAGGGGCGCTGAGAGGCCAGAAGGGCGCCGAACAGTCGAGGGATGCACGGTGAACAGAGACCTAAGGACGCGAGACGGTCAGGAGGGCGCCGTTAGACCATGAGAATGGCGCGGTGCTGTCAAAAGTGCGCCATTCTCCCAGAAGGGCGCCGAGTGATTAAAAACGCTATATTATCCATGAACGCGAGACGGTCAGGAGGACGCCGTTAGAGCATGCGAAGGGCACCGTACTCTCGAAAGGACGCTTGCAGCCTTGTAAAAGACTTGTGGGTGCATTTTCATCATTGTGTGGGCATACATAATTCAGGATTGTGGGTGCATATGCCCCCACAAAGAGATATAAAATTACACCCCTGCATACGGGGGTGAACTGCCATTTTCGTTTAGTAAAAAATAAAATTAAAAAAAAAAATCATCGTGTCAGGGCTGTGACGAAAAATAAGTGGCCTAAATCCGATGAGAAAACAGGATTTGGGGGTACCCTAGGTTTGGCTCCTTGAGCCATGGTGCCCCCCCTTGTCTCAAATCGTTCCGCCGCCTATGGTTGTCAAAGGTCAATGACCTGCCGGCCCGCTCAGTTTTTTAAGCGAACAACTGAGCCTAAAGCACGTGCCCTCTGCTCGGCGCCGGTCGCGGCCCCACCACGTGCACACCGCTGAACCAACCCCCTCGAAAATTTAATACGACAAATGAGTGCACGCGTCCGACTTGCAGTGAAAATTTCACCCCCGTAGCCCTTACCGTTCCCGAGCAATAGCGTGTTTTTGCCGATTCTAATGTTAACCCTATGGGCACGCGAGCACGCGCCAAGGGCGCACCGCCGGCCGCATCATGTCCAAAAGTTAATACGACCTACGTGTAAAGGTGGCCCACATCGCTGTAAAATTTCACGGCCGTAGGTCAACAGACGCCGCCGCAATAAGCGCTACAAAGTGACTACGTCGCACACGGCGTGGGCGGGGTACTTTTTAGGATTTATAATATAGACTAGATGGCATATTTTGCGCTATAACTGTGCGTTTGATAGATGCGTTTGAGGGGGCATTAGTTTAGGTGTGGGAACTTATGATTTTTATTTGTCTTCTTTTTTGTCGGAATTGGATATTTGTTTGAACGGCATGGTATGCTGGTGCTGGTTGCGGGTTGTTAGAGCCTTTCTCATGGTTTGCCTTTATCGAACTCAAACCCACCCTACCCTACCCTAACCTACCCATATCCTACCTTACTCATAACCTACACGTAGTTGCCCTTCTCATACTCGATTAAAGTAATGTACCAAATTTGAGCGCAATCGGCCCAGCCGTTCTTGAGATATAAAACTGGCCCATTGCACGTGCGCACGCGCTAGCTGAGACTCCAGATGACTTGTGCCAGCCACCTTTCTAAATTGTTCCTAACGGTGTACAAAATTTGAGCGAAATCGGCCCAGCCGTTCTTGAGATGTATAAATGGACCTCTCACGTGCGCACGTGCAATCGGTCCACCCTACCTGTCACAAATGACCATGCATCGCCAGGTGAGTGCTCCCTCCACCCACAGTCCAAGTTTCATCGCAATCGGCCCAGTAATAGCTGAGTTATTCCTAGTACAATAATGTGCTGTTTACTGGTAGGCGTTTATTTTCAGTGTTTGGAATTCCCCTTTGCGGGTGGTGCATTGCAGCCCATGCTTTGCTAGCTATTGTCAAAAGTTGAATGGCCTGCCTGCCGAAGCCACCGATTCGATTTTGTCGAAAAATACCCGTAACGTTAACAAAACACGGTCGTCTGTTTGAGTCATTTTCACAAAAGTTTATTGACTTTTCGATAATATGTTGGGTGGATATTGGTCAGAAAAGAATGCTCTTTCCGAATATGTAGGTTTCATAGCCGTTGGTCAGCGTTTTCAATACGTTTTGTTGTTGTAAAGGACATAGCGCTCCGGGCGAATCAAATTTTCAAATTAATTTTTCGTTATTAAGGAAATGGTACGTACCATCACTTTTTATCTGCTATCCTCTGATTACACGTACATTTGCCTGCAAAATGGCACCACACCGATTTCATTCCGTCAAGCCGTTTTCCAGCGGCATCGATTTTCCCGCCACAATGCACAAAATCGGTCATTTTTCACAACCGGCGGTCCTGTCTTGCACGTGGCGCGTGCTATACTATGAAAACATGTCAATACGCTAGGCCCATCTCTCCTCTATCGAGTGGTGTAAACCGCTTCTCGCTGCGAACCTCCGTTGCCGATTTATACAGCCGGGAAGCGGGCGCCGCAGGCCGGTTTTCGTCCAATGTTCGTTTTGACCGTTTCCCGTGTTATCCCTATGGAAGCGCCCTTTTGCACGTGCCGACGGCGCACCCCTGGGCCAATCCGTCCCAAATTTTAATACAGAGGTGACATCAACCCACCGATTCGGCATGCCAAATTTCACGCCGATACGCGGCGCCTTTCAGGCGCAATAAGACACATAAGGCATGACACACGTACAGACAACTTATAAATCATAATATAGATAGATTTCTCATGGCACGTAGACTGAGAAAAGGGATCGCATGGGCGGACCAAGCCGTTTGTTTTGGGTAGGGTGGAGAACTCAACTCATGGACATCTACTACCGAAGAAGAACGTGCTAAGTCATGTCAAATATCTCCCTTTTTGCTGCATTGTTCTATGAACGTATTTCTCACTCCCTTATTCTTCGCCCCCCCCCCCCGCCGCCGCTCGCCCAGGGCGCAGCAGGTCAACCACCGCGCCGTGCACCACGAGGTGCAGAAGATGACTACCGATCAGAAGGAGGCGCTGGTCGCCCAGCTCCAGGAGGACGTCCAGAACAGTCGCAGGAGTGCCAGGGAGGCGGCAGAGAAGAACACAGAGGAGGAGGAGGACTTTGAGAACCCGTTCAGCACCGCGCCGCCCCAGTATGTCGACAAGGTGAGACGTGGAAACGTTGGTGTGAGGACTGGACATACGACGAGTACTGAGATGAGTTGTTATTGGAAACGGTTGGACGGTGTGTAATTTGTGGGGTGGGTACTCACTACTGGGTAGATGGTAATGGACCGAGAGTGCATAAAGTTAATTTGTTAATTTAAAGTTAAATTATCAGTTAATTTGATTTTCAGTCACAGGGGACAAGAAAAGTAAAACATTAAAAACAAGAAATCGGTAATTGAATTACTAAATGTCACCTAGTTACCTTGAGAAGGGATCTTTGGAACATACGTACTGGGAGGATCGATCTCAGAAGTCATCGCTGAACGAATTCAAATGAACCATTCAATCATTCCCTGACTACAGTTGCTGCTCCGTGCTAGCTTTAGGCCCAATCTTAGTTTATCACTCACTCCTTCAACTCTCTAAATACCCCCCCCCCCCCCCCGCCCCAGCCTCTAACTCTGCAGGGTCGGGAGTGCACCCCCGGTCTCCGCCCGGACACCTTCACGCCGATGGCACTGCGCGAGCGGAAAACACTCGGAGATAAGATGGAAATGTTCACCTTTGTCTACCCGGAGCCGGACAAGCACAGCGGCTGTCTGGCCGGACAGTATGTCAAGGTGGGTATCTTGTCATGTCATATCGGGTAAGGACACTACTACAGTATGTCAAGGTGTGTATTGCGATTTCTTAACTCGACGCGACTTAAGCGATTTCTTTGAATGCAGTGCGTGATTACTGTACCTACAACTTTTCCTTCAAACACGCAAATTTTTTAACGGAGGAGCGAACTGGCGAAGGAACTCCGACCGCAAGTTGCCGATGATTTAAATTCATTTTTTGTATCTGTCGGTCCTCGTGTCGCTGACGAGATCCGAGCCCAAAACACTCCCACCGATTTGGATGTGCGTCTCACCCGTGTCGGCGCATGCAGTTTTCAACTTCGTGAGATAACACTGGGGGAGCTCGAGCGGATTATTTTCAGCATGCGTAACTCGAGTGCCTGCGGCTCCGATAACGTGTGTGTCCGCATGCTGAAATTCGGATTCCCCGCTATTGGTGGTGTCATCCTGCATATTATCAATACCTGCTTAATCCAATCTGACATCCCCGATTCATGGAAACATTCCATAGTTCACCCTCTGTTCAAGTCTGGTAACCCTTCAGACCCCGCAAACTTCCGACCCATTTCCCTAGTTCCTGTAATCATGAAAGTAGTTGAACGCATTGTCCATCAGCAGCTCTACGCCTACCTCTCCCATAATCACCTTCTGGCATCCTCCCAGCACGGCCTCCGCCCCCGGCACTCCACGGAAACCGCGTTGCTGTCTGTCACTGAACACATCCTGGCCGCCACTGATAGGGGGGATTTGTCAATGCTATGCCTTCTCGATCTCAGTAAATGTTTCGACGTGATTGACCACGATCTTCTGATGCAAAAACTGATGTTACACGGCATTGAAATTTCCTGGTTCGCCGCCTATCTACATGGACACACTCAGAGCGTGTCTTTGAAAGATGTATCCGGACGTAGAGTGCTGTCTAGGCCTCTTTCTAATGCCATGGGTGTCTTCCAGGGCTCTGCGTTAGGGCCGCTTCTTTTCACCATTTTCTCTAACAACTTATCGCTATACGCGGGCGACGCAAAAGTGTTTCAGTATGCCGATGACACTCAAGTATTGGTTAGCGGTCCAGCTCGGGACCTCGAAGTTCTCATCTCGCGCATGGAGGACTCGCTCGCGTCTCTCAACGACTGGTTTTGCGCTAACGCCCTCAAAGTGAACGCAAGTAAAACACAACTTATTGTATTTGGCACTCGTCAAAATCTTCGTAAATTACCAGACTTTAGAGTACCATTCCGCAACGCAGCGTTGCAACCGTGCGCACAAGTCGGGAACCTTGGCGTCACTTTTGACAGCACTATGTCATGGGACGCACACGTCTCTGAACTCTGCCGCCGGTGTACGGGACTGTTGATTGGTCTTTCACATGCGCGCCACTGTCTCCCAGATGGCATCATTCGAACGCTCGTGACGGCACTCGTTGTATCGCGTATCCAGTACTGCCTTTCAGTTTATGGTAATGGGTCCCAAAAAAATTTCGATCGACTCCAAAAAATTCTTAACTTCGCCGCTAGAGTTATTTTCGGCCGCCGTAAATTTGACCATGTCTCCGACCTGCGAACAAAACTCGGGTGGTTGTCCCCGCGCGGTATGTCCGATTTCCACACCCTTGTCATCGCACACAAGGTCATACAGCGCCGTGAACCTGAGCAACTAGCAGCCCTGTTCGTCGCTAATAGCGCTATCCGCGAGAGACCATCCAGACAAGATCACTTCTTCCATCTTCCCCGTCCACGGCTGGAAACGGGAAAGCGGCGGTTTGGCTATCGAGCTGCAGCTCTGCTGAACAGCCTGCCACCTCACCTGTCGCAGCTGCCTCCCGCCCGCTTCGCCCGCGCTGTTAAAGCCGCAATCGTGGACGATGAATCAGCACATCGTCGCTGACCAATAGGATAGGGGTGGGTAAAAGCGATGAGGCTGTCCTGAGAGTGTTTTGTCCTAGTTTTGACGTGAGTGAATGTGCAACTGTTTTGAATGATTAGATTAGCAACCGCGGATACGGATTCTGAGCAGTAATCGCCACGCACTTTGTATGTGGATCGCTCTTAAATGTAAATACAAATACAAATACAAATACAAATGGAACATGCTATAGAGTTGGGCACAAGATATTCCTAGAGTTGGATGCGTGATTCCTATAGGTGGTTACAAATGCAATATTCCTGGATATAGGTGGCTGTTGCGATGGAGCTTTTGAGAGTAAGCATTCAGCTATCGGGGGCCCAGCTTGTTGGACCGCCACGTCGAGATAATATAACTTCGTTTATTTTCTAAGCGTGCTTGCTGACAGTTTCCCGAATTCTTTCTGGAATATTTCGAGCATCTAATAGCATCGTGGATTGTTTGAGTATTTATGACTTACTGGCTAGTTGTTAGTATGTTCCTATTGAACACGATTATGTGTCTATGTATAAAAGGTTATCCCGTTGTCTAACCTGTATCCGGACCTGTATCCAGATCCGGATCCACCCGGAGGGCCACCCGGTCCAGGAGCGGTACTTTTCGCCCGTCTCCCGACCCGACCAGCCCGACGAACTGGAGATCATCATCCGGTTCGAGACGACTGGCATCCTCTCGCAGCACTTCAAACAACTCAAACCCGGTGAGAGTGTTTGTTTGTCGGGTGAGAAAGTCTTCTTACTCGACTGTTAGCGTTGATTGATTTTTCACTCTCCAAGTCCGAATGTATTGGACTCGAATTATTGCGACTTTGGTGCACTACCGTCGCAATACACTTCACTCGATTGCAATACGTTCAATTCAATATAGTTTTCAGCTACTTTTTACGGAGCGAGCGAAGCGAGCGGAGTCTCATACTGAATTAAGGGAAAATTCTGAGTATGAGCGGCCGGCCGGCCGGCCGGCCGTGGGGACGCTCTTCAAAAGCTAATATCTTAGGAACGGGACATCCGATTGACAAGCGGTCTTCTTTAATGAATGTCACTTGGACGTAAAAGTTCTGTGGTGTGATGGCCACCATGCGTTCTAGCCAACCACCGCACGTGGCGCGTGGTAAAGTTGGACATTTTTTAAGAACCCCCAAAATTGCAACCTCAATAACGGCACAACGGTTGGGCCGATTGAATTGAAACTCGGTACACAGTTAGGTCTCCATCAGATAATTCATCTGCATGTGTTAAGGTTGGGGTGCTACAGCACGTGCGCACGTGCAGGGGGCGCTCCCAGATCTCGAGAACGGCTGGGCCGATTGCGCTTAAATTTGGTACACGGTTGGGGACCAGTTAGTAGGGTGCCGTGCAAAAGTCAGTTTGGACCCCGCTTGCACGTGCGCACGTGCAGTGTGCCGCTTCCAGATCTCGAGAACGGCTAGGCCGATTGCGCTGAAATTTGGCACATCGCTAAAGACCGGTTAGTAGGGTGCAGTGCACAAGTTAGTTGGAGGTACCCCCTCGCAATTTCGCACGTGCAAGGCCCATCCTCTCGCTCGCTCCGTTGGTCGCCCAAAAGGCGTTTTACTGGTAATACGGTGATCCAGGATCCCCTTCTACGGAAAATGTGGGCGAGCGGCTTTGTTTAAAATACATAAGGCAAAAAATATCCAACGTTATTATTTTGCCCGATTTAAAAACCGTTTGAATAGCGCATATCATTCTTCAGAATATCGCATACGTCGTAATAAACCGCTACCTGGTATCGTGGAACATTTTCACACGCACATGCTACCCTATTATTACCCCAAGATTACGCATTAAGTCCCTCAAGTATTACCTCCCCCCCCCCGCAGGTGACACGGTCGAAGTGCAGGGCCCGTGCGGCGGGTTCGAGTACCGCGCCAACACCGTCGACCACCTGGCTCTTCTGGCGTCGGGCGCGGGCGTCACCCCGGCACTGCAGCTGATCAGAACGGTTATGGCTGACCCGGAGGATAGTACGCAGGTGACACTGCTCTGTTTTGCCGAGACGGTGGACGATATACTGCTGAAGGACGAGCTGGATCGCTACCAGGGTTAGTGCGAGACGAGAGGGGGGAGGGGGCAGGGGAGGGAGGTTTTTCGTTTGTGTGTTTGGAGAGGCATGTGTTGTCAAACATGTTACCTGGCTTGTTTTTGTACGTGTGGTCATTAACGACCTTCATCTTTAAAACACTTCATACAGCTGCTTTAAAAATAAGCTCCGTTCCTCATATACCTAATCCGTAGCATTTTATATTGCGAGAAGAGTACACAACTAACGCCTTTCGAGCCTTAGCTTGCATAGCTCTATGGTTAGCATTTCGCTCACAGCGATGTATTTATAACTCCTTTCAGCTGCAACCCCAAAGCCCTCTTCTTAAATTCCTCAGTTGCAGCTTTCATGCGTATTGTTAATACGAGTTCTTTGTATATCGGTCTGTATACCTTTCTTTTCGTCACCGCTCTCTCCCTCCCTCCCTCCCCCCCTCTCTCTCTCTCTCCCTCCCTCCCTCTCTCTCTCTCTCTCTATCTATCTCTCTCTATCTATCTCTCTATCCCTCTCACCACCCCGCGACTCTGTCCATCAGCCACGGACAAGCGTCTTCAGATCCTGTACTCGCTGGGTGAGACGCCCGAGAACTGGGATGGCGAGGAGGGCTTCATTGACAGCGACATGATACAGAGGATGGTGGCCAAACCCAACGGACGGCGCTGCAAGGTGGGTGTCCTGTTAGTGGGTCCGGCTGGGATACACTGAAGATCAGTTCGGTATGGGCGAGATAGACCGCAAATTTAGGAAAGGATTTGTTTGTGGGGGGGGGGGGAGGTGTTAGGCAAACATGGTTGTTGGGTGTAACCACGACAAAGTACAATGCATGTCCAGACTTAATTTAAGGAATTATAAATTACATTTAAAGTAATTTTATTGTGCTTCGTATTTTTTTTCTTATATATGTTGTGAGAGCAAAACAAATGACCGTTTACGGCGAAAGTCAAACGCGACTTTCCACGTGGCTCGTCCTTGACTTCCTGCACTGATGCAACTCCCCGTGCCGTGCTGATCTACCGCCCTCTCTCCGACAGATTGTGCTATGCGGCGGCCCCACGATGGTCATCTCCACGCTCAGTTCGCTGCGACAGCTCAAGTACCCGGCGCGGGATATCTTCGTGTACGGCCAATTCGGCGTGGAACAGGTGCGCATGGTGTACGGCCGGTATGTGGAACTGTCCGGGCACAAGTCGGGGTGCGCCGTCTGAACTGGAGTGTAGCTGAGAGACCCTGGAGGAGCTCTGGAAAAGTTTGGAGGATCTGATGAATCTGGAGAAGATCTGAAGATAGGTACTGCAGAAATTCCCACAAGTTCAAGCCTTGTGGGAATCAGAGTCAGGAAAAAAAATGAAAAAGTGAATGAAGTGGAGAAACTCCGAAGGAGCTTTGGAGAAATTAGAGAAGTTCTGGGGAAACTGGAGTAACTCTGAAGAAAGGTTGGAGAAGTAAGGAAATCTCTGGACAAGTTACGCATTATGGAGAAGCTGGAAATTCTCTGGAGACACCAAGAACGCGGGAAAGTCTTCTGTGCTTTCTTTGGAGAAGCTGCTTTGCTTTGGAGAAGAGAAGAGACGAGAGCAAAAGAGCTTTGGAGAAAAGAAGGGAATTTTGGAGATGAAAAACGAGACTGATGCTGGTGTTGGAGAACCAGCTGAGCACGTGAGCGTCCTCTAAAGGTCAGCATGTAGCAACTAGCCGCTGTAGGTGCTCACATGTCATTCCCAGCGCTGTAGAAAAGCCTGTAATGCTAGCTCCTCTCGCTGGTTGTTGGTGCTTGGGCTGTTTACTCCGCCACAGGTTGTAGTTGTGGTGTAATGTTACTAACCTAGAGTTAGTAGTGGTAATGAGATGCTGTGCGATCTATTTTTGTGTCGTAATTGTTAAATAATGTAGCGTTGGACTTGGGACTTTGCAGAAAATGCAAATCTAGGTTAGATTTGCTCTGGCTTTTCGACGGATGCATGTAACCTGCTCAGTCTAGATATTCTAGATTCTAGAGATTCTAGATCAGTCTAGAGATTGTTATAGGGTCATGGGCACAAACTGTAGTACGGTTGCGGCGTTATAGTCGATTCGTATATTTTCGTACAGATTTTATCGTCCTAGGGTTGTTTGCGCGAGTTTTGATGATGCCTGTCGGTGATGGCTTCGAGTGTACCTATTTGAGTAGCTTACGAGCTCTTCCATACGACATGCTGTTTGTGTAGCTCATGCTATGGCACCGAAGTTTCTAAGAAGTGCATTAAGGAGGCATCAGTATTGTATGTAAATGGTTATGGAAGATAATAAATATAGCAAAGCTACATGTTTTGTGTTGTGTTACGAGTATTTTTCGTCGTCACGTGTGCTTAATTGGTACTAAAGGGCAATTGGCATCGAATTGGCACTGAACCTATTCACACTTCATTGGTGTAACGCGATGTCTCATATTTTCTCAACTCTAGCAAGCGTCCCCTAAAGGCAGGCAAACTAGCGCAAGCCACATTCGCCAAGTACGAGAAAACTCGTACGTTTAGAATCGAAGTACAGTCTGTACACTCGGGGGCAGATTGATGTTCCACCTCCCCCTTATACCCATCGGGCTCCCATGGCTCAGCAGTGGCTGCTGCCAGTGTTGCCTGCCCTCAGCACTGCTCAGCACTGTCTGCCAGTGCCAGTGCTGCCAGTGCTGCCACTGGCCGCTGCCAGTGTTGAGCCATGGGAGCCTGATGAGTAGGGAGTGGTGGAACATCAATCTGCCCCCGAGTGTACCGCGCAAAGTGACGGTGTATCCATCAAGCCTGACCGAGGAAGGGCCTGCTATAATTTGAAAGTCACTCAACCAATTGACCTGGGGAATGGATGAGGATGTCAGTTGCTTCGGTGACTCAAATTTAGCAGGCCCTTCCTCGGTCAGGCTTGATGGACCCACCGTTACTTTGCACGGTACTTTTAAGACAGACTGTACACCGGTACTCCCATTTCCTCGCTGAGGTGTAAGTACAATGCCCATTACATCCTGAATCGCTTGGGCTATGATATCAGAGTAAGAACATTTTAAAATGCATGGAAATTGTCATATATCGACACCTTTTTTTAAACCCCACATCTGTTCTCCGGTGAATTTCCGGGAAGCACGAAAGATCTCTTTTTAGTAGTGTCCAATCGTCCGATCCTGATCAAATTTGAGTGTTCGTAAGCTTGCTCTGGCATTGCTGGATCTGCCAAGACAGACAAACTTGAGAAAAATCGAGTGACTGTACCTTTTTTGAAGGTTTCTAAACAACTTGTCTGAACTTCACGGGAGAACAAATGTGGGGTTTAAAAAAGTGTCGATATGTCACATCTCTAATGGCCTTATTTGGGAAATATATGTGCTGAAGAAACTTACCTAAGCGATACAAAGTGCTAGTAATGACCAACAAATATGCAATGACATCAATCTTTCCACATTTATTTATCATCATCACAAGCTAGCAAACCATTATTCTTCAGAAAGTAAGTCACAAGATTTTGCTTGAAATGCAGAAGGGAAAATTTCCCTAATATAATTGAGAAATAGTGGACCAGCAAAATCGACAGGGATAAAGCTTTGATGTAGGTAGATATGAAAAAGCATAGACATTTTAAAGCCAAGCTAGTCTGGGTGAAAGATCTGCCACTTGACATTCACATGGCCACAAAAGCTTTGAAAGCTATCATCATAAACCAATTCCAACACCCGCTTCTCCAGACATCAAACACTTTGAACAGCATATATACATGCAGGGCAGCTCACCTTCTAAACTGCCAGACATTTACACGACGGCAGCCACGAGGGCTGCAAGAATGGACAGGCCTACGACAGCGTATCCCGACTTGTACAGGGTCTTGATGGAGAAGCCCTTGCCCATATCCCACACCAGGTGCCTGATGCCGTTGAAGGTGTGGAAGAAGAAGGGCCAGCTGATGATGAACTTTGAGGCCACCAGCAGTGCCTTGCCGCCACCCGAGCCAGCAAGGAGCGTCAGGTAGTACGGGTAGCTGTTGGGCAGGAGCACCATGGCTCCGGCAAAGCCGAGCAGGCCAAAGTGGAGGCCCATTCCAGTGGCGCGGTGGGTGATGGACAGCATGGAGGTTAGCTGGAACTTGTAGATGGTGAGGTGGGGCGACAGCGGCCGGCCCATCTTCTCGTTCTTCCTCTCCCACTCTTCGGCAGAGTACTGCTGGATCGCCCATGATCTGCTGCTTGTCGTCAGCAGGCTCTTTTGAAGAATCCTGCTGCTGCAATTGGCTGCAACTGAGCGGGATGCAAGGCGCAGACAGAGAGCCATTTTGGGGCTAAGGTGATGCTGATGAACTTACTTGAAGCTCTCCTCCTCTCTGTCTCTGGACGATGCGACAGTCCACGACCTTGCGCTCTTGACTTTCAATCAAATGCCCAACAATTTTGCTGATTTTTAACCAGTGAGTGTTCTGGCCCCAGATTATATCAATACAAGATATAAATGTAACTAGGACCAATTTTGGACCAATTATTGCCCGTGCAGCAGCTCGGTCCAGTTTCGCCGCACAGCTAAATGTGCGCCAGTTACTGCCGCAATATTTCCACTCAGCTGATTTTTCGCCTTAGTGTTCTATTTAAGCATTTTAAACTGCTCGCGGACTGAAATCTCCGTTTTGATTCGTCAATTTCGCTGTGTGCCTCGGTGATTCGCTGCCGAACGCGCGTATAAGTTTTAGCCCATAAGACTGAACACTAGGCTGGTACATTGGGACGTCTATTTTGCAGATGTAAATGAAAGATTGCTATTTTGGGATGTAGGAGGTGTTGCAGAAATTAGTAATATTGAATATTTATATACACTGTGGAAATAATTATGTGCACTGTGATTGCAAGGATTGTAAATTCATCAGGATAGACTGGTCCGCCATGTGTGATAATGAATAACAAATTTTTTAGTCATGGATTTGACGTTGATTCGACTGAAATGTTTTTTGTTGTGTTTGCAATGAATTTGTGTATTAAATATAAAACTAAGAGGTACATCATACCAATTCTCATGATGCCCAAATGCTCCACCATATCTGGCATTAGTAGATAGATAGATAGATAGATAAGCTTTATTTCAGACTCTGGGTCCATACTCTTAAATACTGATGATTTCAGTCAGTGCAGTGGCAAGACAACCAAATGTCACACAAACAATCATTCGGGCCTGTTTCAGCACTCGCGCAGAGTGCTGTAGTAGAGCAGTCGTTAAACAAAGGCCATGCACAAAGGTTTTCCAACAACGGAGCTGTAGCCAAAGGAGCTAATTGGCTGTAGGTTTGTAGGTTGTCATTGTAGGGTAGGTTTGTAGGTTGTAGGCTGTAGGAGCAGCCTTGTCTGGGGAAGTGACAGAATGGATAGGTTGCCCTTATGTCTGATCAGGCTGTGCTGCAGCTGTAGTGAATCATTATGGGGGGTCATTTATGCTTAGACTTGTGAGTTGTGAGTGGTGTACCTTTCATTCATTTGTGTAGCCCTAAAGCTGTATCATTAAATTAAAATAGTTAAGCCTAACCCTTGGCCTAATCTGATTTAACCCGCGCCCTGATGGGGGGGCCATTTTGGCCCCCCCTGTGGTTTTTCTTAAATAGCGAGAAAACGGCGGCGCGCAGCGCCGCCAAATTTTGGGTACCTTACCGGGCATCAATTTGACACCTTCACACAAAATTTCAAGTCACAGGTCAACTCAGGTCAGGAGTAATTGAGGTCAAACTGAGGTCATGTTCGAGTAAAAATGAGCAAAAAACATGACATCTTTAAACGCTCACAAATTCTACAGTTAACAAGCAATTTTAAAGTTCTTTATGTGGTTGTGTAGAGAAAAAAACGGCGCTACAAAACTGCTATCTCGGATTTTCGAAATTTTGGGATTTTGACCCCCAAAAATAAAAAAAAATTGATTTTTTTTTAGAAAAACCCAAAAAAATTCCAAATTTTTTTTCGAATTTCGAAAAACCGGAATATATGTGCTAGTCCCTGCGCTCTTCGATATACATACCAAATTTTAGATCGATACCTCTTTTTTTTTGGCCAAGTTATAGCGAAAAAACTGTTAAAAATTGATGACGTCAAATTTTTGAACTCAATTTTAAGCAATAGGGTTGGGACCTATCTGCATGCTCTGTATGTTTTGGTAAAATAAAAAAGCTCAGAATTTTTAATGATTTAATTTAAAATCACTTTGTTAAAAAAAAATGCCTAGTTAGTTCAGAAATTAATTATTTGTGGCTGAAAACAACTTGCTTCTGATTGGTCGGGCTAATCATGACGTCACATGTAGGTATATAACTGTCTGTATATTTGGCGCAGTTGAGACATACATTTTCTATGTATTTTCCTATGGTAAATCGGAGTGATTGGTCGTGTTTTCAGTGTCTCTTTATTTTGCGCTGGTATTGCGTGGCTAAGAAGTTTTATCAAGAATGGCATATACTAAAATGTTCCTTTAATAATGGAGCTTAAATATCTGTGAGTTTTATTGGCAAGCGAAAACTGATTTCGCTGTTATTTTATCCGGAAATTACTCATTTTTTTAGGTCAATATTCAAAATATTTTACGGGAACAAGTTGGCACTTTTCTTGATTTTTGCACTCAAATCGCGTGCGATTCAACTGTATTGGAACTTACAAAGAAGCTGGGTGATTAATTAACTGCGTTGTTATGGCACTGTTTGCAAAGCATGGATAATGAAACTCTGCCAAAGACTTAGCTACATAGCAATGCCTCAAGTAATACGCAGGAGGGACAGAATTCAGAGTCCGATCGAGAAGAATCGGTGCAAATGCTACGAAGACCAGGCAGCTCTGATACAATAGCTAGTCGTCTCACTACTCTCACTCCATAAGACCAGCTGATTCCTGATAGCACCGACTCGGATGCAAAGATGGAGCTCATCTTCCAAGCCAGAAACCAGTTCTTTGATGGAAGATGTGATGCTGCCTCTGTCTCTGCTTTGTTGGCCACTTTGGACGGGGCGGAGCTCCGCTCCTTGCGTGAGCGGTTATTCGCCTGTCATCCAGAAATAGTTCCTTCGTTTGCTGGCCGTTCCCTGATTAGGTGCAATACGGGGAGCTGTAATCAGGGAAGTAACTTTCCATATGAAAGGGGTGCAGGTGCACCCCCGTCCCCCATCCACTAGAAGTGCACCCCCATAGGCTAAGCGGCGCCCCACACGCCGCCCCACACGATTAGCTCTAGAGCAGATGGCGAGGGTGATTTCTCGGCTACATTCCATCTCGGCGTCGTGATGCTTGTGGGCTTGGAAAGCGTCCAGTCGTATGTAGGGTAGTGTAGGGGTAGGGTTGAGTTCAATAAGGTCCTTACATTTGAAAGGTTTGAACAACCCGCAATCAGCACAACATACCACAAGTTAAATAAAAAACTATCAAACTCCGCCCAACTAATATTAATAAACATTACAGCCAAACTAATGGCCTAAATAAAAATATATCTCAAATCCTAACAGTTATCGCGGGTGATGGCGCCATGAGTTGCTATTATCCAAAACAGGTGCAAATAAACATGTTTGTATGTCCTATGTATGTTTGTTTTAAAAACGTTGCAGCGGCGCTGGGAACTGCAGTCTTAGATCTGGGTATGTTTGGCATCTGCAACTCTTCATATACACATTAACCCTATTTCGGACGGGGAGACCTTTCAGGATTTTCTTGTACAATTGCCAAACGCCGCGAGACATTCAGCTCATATTTGGTGACTTTTCCTAAATGTTCATTGCGCACATCTCAGCAAAAAAAAAATGCCGGGTCAGGTCAGGTCAGGTAACCAGAGCGGGTTTGTTGACCCCACCTCAGAAAAGTTCGCAAACACGTCAGAGCTTGAGTTTTTCACGAAGTTATTTCCTCTCATCAAGTCTTCAAAACAGTACCTGCAGTATGTGTCGTTTGTATATCTCAGAATTTTTGATCTGTGACCTGAGGTTAGGTCAGAGTCGTGACCTTTACATTGCAAGCCTATGGAAAAGTATTGAAATGCGACCTGCACCTCGAGTAAACGAGTCAAAACCACCCAATTCTTTAAGAATTATGACAAATTATCTTATCTGTAATGATCCAGGTGCCATTTACTGACAGGGACACCGGAGAGGGTTATCTGAGCCGAGATCATGTGAGGTGATATCTACCATACATCAATGCTCACAATACTTACAATATTGACAATGCTTTTGCTTACAACACTTACAATACTTACGATGAGACCAGCAAGCACTCTGCCGTTACAGTTCTAACTTCTGTTTCGAAAAACGACGCTACACACATTCGCTGCCAGCATAACATGTATTGTTTGACAGTAACAAAATACAATTGACATCTGAACCCCAAACGGACCGCTATCCACTCAAATTTTATAACCCTGACCGGTCAGGGGGCGAATGGAGGTCATTTCCTGGGCATTACACTCAGCCCTTGCACAAAATATCTCACCTCACAGTGATCATTACAACAATAGCATCGACTTGATAGTGGATTTCAAAGTACTTGCATCAGCTCTTCCTGCTATTGCAGACGATCATCTCCTCACAGGGTAATGTCATGATGATGTTGTTCAACAGTGATGTTGTTCGGGACATGAACGAAGATCGTTTTCGGAGTTTCATAAGTGCTACTACAACAGCCTGGCACAAAACAGGACTTGTACGCTCTTCTCTGCACTTTGCCCTTCAGTATATCACAAAAGAATTGTTTAGAATCCATCTTACGCTTCTTTCACAGTCTCCCTTGCCACCGTAGGGCGTAGATCAAGATAGATTGCTGTTGCTGGTAAGTTAAGGCACGGTAGATAGAAATTACCTCGGTTCTCAACGCCTTAAGTTATTTTCATAAAAAAGAACAAATAAATGATCAATAAGATGACAGGAATGTAAACATTTTAATCGTAAAGTAGTCCAAATATTGGAATGAGCTTTTGCTTTTCAGCATCCTCCGAGTCATCATCTTTATCATTTGAAAATTCGAGGTACATAAAATGTTTATCACGCGCTCATGTTAAGTGGGAATATAGTACACGGCAGACACATCAATTTTTGACACTGAACATTTCATCCGTAAATGTTTTAGCATAATTTAAAGTTAAAAACAGCGCGAATGGCAGAGTGAAGCAAACAACATCTTTCACCCATTGATATAACATGTAATCTGTGGTGCGCCAGATGCGCCATTATTTGTCAACCGCAGAAGGTGACATGTGACGTAACAGCATCAAGAGCATCTTTTTTCAAGAACTTTTCAAAACAAGTTTCCTATCTTTCTTCCCCCATTTCTCTCAGCTTATTGATTTTATGAGGCAATGGTATGCACCATAAATTCTGTGAAAATAGTTTGATCATTTTCATGCATTCTTAAAAAATCGAGTTCCCAACCCCATTCTAGACCTCGTAGCGCAAAACGGAGACCACCATTGAACTCCCCGTGACGAGCTGCATCGAATCGATACCCATTTTATGCAAAAATATCAACTTTGAAATTTGACCTAATTTGACCTGACCTTGACCTGACCTTGACCTGACCTTGACCTGACCTTGACCTGACCTTGACCAAAACGTGACCTAAGCTGGCCCTAAAGTCTGTCTGACCCACATAATCGCATTTGTCATGTAAAATGGACCATAAAACATGTATCACACGACACTTTCATATTGTGACCCCCCAGTGACCTGACCTCTGTGACCTGACC